AATAAGGTGTGAATGGGCACTCCCACAATCTACTACTTATATAATGTATAGGTAGCAATCACTAATGCTTTGTTTAGTGACTAAGCACAGTTACTTTTATGATGAAGAAATAATAAACAAGCCCTGCATTTATGATCTTTGCAGATTTGTAAAACAAAGAAGACCTGAATCACTGTTGCATTCAATGACTGCTTTGCTTATCAAGATAGTTGCTATCATAACAGCAATACAAAAATAGCTAAAGAAGCATCTATGTTTCTCACTACCAAACTAGTTCAAGAAGAAGCATTTTGCTGGATGCAGCATCAAGGAAGCAGCCAAATGATATAATAAATAAAAACAACTGTCAGCCTAGGTTGGAAGAACCCTGGTTGTCAATGGGTGGCTGAAGAATTTAAAATAAGTGTTAGGGACCAACTGCCATGGGAAGATTGATAAAGTATAACAATGCCAGCAAGTTACATTTGCATGTGGTTGATCAAAGTTTCTGGTAGCTACAGTAATCTGAAGCAAAGGAATTAAAGGCAGGTGAAATGAAAGCAATACCTGTATTAACCCAAGAATGAAAGGAAAGAATGGGGAGAAGATTAGACAGGGCTAAAGGGAAGGGAGCATGGAGGATATTCCCTTTTTCATCAAGACCATGATAATATGAAACCCAGTGCATCCTTGAGAAGAAAGTACTACCTGAATTCCAGAGCTTCTTATTTTGGGTCCACACAGTGCATTGCACAACAAGAGTTACAACATTTCTGTTTTTTTTCACAATCAGAATCCGTCCAGCACTTATTAGGCTGAGGACCAATGCAGATACAGCGATCGACTGGGCACACCCCAGGTTTCTGTTGATTTGGATGGTCTGGAATTGGCACAGGGGAAACAGAGAAAATTTTTGTATAATCATAATCATCATATGCCATCATATATCATATCATAATCATCATATGTCATCCCATATATTGTTATCATACATATTATATCAATGGACAAGTCAGTGATGCTAAGAATGGTTAGTGGAACAAGAAAAAGAGCTAAACAAAGAACACGTTGGCATGATAACAGGCAAAGATGAACATCCAACAAGTGAAAGAAGCTGTGCTTGACAGGGTAGCATAGAGAGCATTTGCTAAGCTGCCAAGAGTTGGATATGACTGAATGTTTAAAACTATGAATAGTGTAATATTTAGTTTAACTTATTGACTGTTTTTTTCTTTTTCATGTGTGTGCGTGCGTGTGCGTGTGAGTGCGTATGAAAACAGGAGGAGAATTTGCTACTTTTCTTTTCTTTTTTTAATCACCCAGCTAGGGAACATGTTAAATTTGTTTGATCAGTTTTTCCTCTTTTTTTTGTGCACCATTATTTTTCATTTTTGTTGTTGTTAGGGTGGAATGCATCCTTTTTTCTTTTCTTTTGTTTGTTTGTTTTTCCGTTTTACTTTTTATGATGAAACAAGAAATAATATTAAAAACAATAACAGATAGATCGGCCAATACAATCCACTGACTTTTTCAGGCTTCCCACTGCAAATTTTACTTCAAACTTGTATTTCATTGCATTGCATTGCATTTTTTATTTTATTTTAATTATTTGATCATTTGATTATAATTATTGTATTGATTTCTATAGGCATCCATCTCAGTAAATGACATTGGGTAGCTTGCAGATTAAAAAATCTATTATTATAGATGGAAATATTTTTTTTTAAACAATAAAAACTTTTCATGGAGATTAAAAAAGAGGAAATTATTTAACTTCTGTGTTTATTGTATTTTCAGAGCTACCTCAAAAAGATTTCTGAGAAGGGAAGCTTTGAACAATTTCTCCTTCCTGAGTTCTTGTGGTACAACTACTATTTTATTCATTGATTGCCTTGTTTTTATTTGGAATGCATTTTTTTTCTTTGATACTTAGCATTTCTCACCACAATCAGCACTGACCAGCAGGAAATTTTGTCCCAGCTATTGTTCAACACATTCTCTTTGGAATTCCATTTAGTCTTCATTCTTCAGCAATATAGCCTGTTCTTCATTCTCTTCTCACCACATGCAACACTTACAAACACTAACAAAGTGAACTGAATTGTGATTTTCTCCAACCTGGAAAGACTTCAGTGTACTAGATGTAAAAAAAGGTGCTTACAGCGACAAATGTGGAGTAAGTTAAGTAATCAATCTCAGCTTTAGAATTTTTAAATTTCTATTTAATTCTTTTCAAGTGTTGTAAAATTAATATAAGTTTATTTTTATACAGGAAATGTGTGGGTTTAACTTATTGAAAGAAAATAGAGACGTTTGAAAATGTTGCCCTCTACAGATGTAGTTAATATGTATAGCATGGAGTACATTGAGTTTGAAAACCCCAACATACCCGTGAGTTGAACTGATGCTTCTTAAAACAAATTCTATTGGACAAATGGAAAAACTCTGAAGACCCAGAGGTTGGTTGAATACTATAAGGACCGCAGAACATTGTATGAAGAGGATCTTCAACAAAATACATTTACAAATGTATGCAAATTATATGTGTAAATTATACATTAAAATATGTTAATAGGTTTTCTATGATAACAATAATTGTAAAAAATGCAGCAATACAGAAATCAATATTCAATTATCCACAGAAATTAGATATTTAAATAAGGATGTAGGCATAAAAACCAAAAAGGCTTTCCACTCTTTCCTTCATCATGTCTTCTCAGAAAGAGAAAGTTTTATGTCTTACCTGTTTGGAAGTTCCTTCCAACTACAGTGGGGAATCCCATCCAAATTGCCAGAAAGCAAATTGCAAGAGGAAAAATAGTCAACAGCTTCATGTTGTCCTCCAGATTCAGGAAAACTTAATAATAATCAAGAACTATAGCTGAGCAAGGCCAATATATAAACAGAAGTGTTCTGAGGAATATAGTTGCACCTAACTATAATCAATAGTGTTGCAAAGGATCACCCCACCCCAAACTTAAGCAATTGCTTGGTCTAATTTCCACAGAATATTAGTGTCAGAGATGTGATATTGGCACATCTGGGAAAACCCGAATCTGAAAGCTTCCAGGTTTCCCCACCCAAGTAAAAGTTCAAGTCCCTGCCCAGCACTCACATGTCCATCATAATATCAGGTTTAGAAAAGTTATATTAGAAGAGAATCAAGATCATGCAATCTGTGGAAAAATTGAGTGAAAGGAGGGATAAAATGGATTATGTAGATCTTTTCAGTCAGGACATGATCTGAAGCATTGGATGGCGGCGTATGTGATTGCTGTTGTGGAGGACTTCAGCTATAACTTTTGTCTATACCTTATGTGCAGTGGTGGGGATTCAAATAATTTAACAACCGGTTCTCTGCCCTAATGATTTCTTCCAACAATCAGTTCACGAAACTGTTCAGAAAGTTAATAACTGGTTCTCCCGAAGTAGTGTTGGTTGGGGGGCAGAGATCGACCCCTAGGCCCCTAACATATGGGGTGCCGCAGGGGTTGGTCTTGTCCCCACTACTATTTAACATCTACATGAAACCGCTGGGCGAGATCATTCGGAGGCACGGGATAAGATACCACCAATACGCGG